CATCTCTTTTCAAACCAATCATCATTCAGATACAGATTATGGACTAAAGTCAGTGCTGCAATCCATCAAAGTGCTCCCATGTCTTTTTTGTATTTTTGCTTATTTGCTTCTTACAATCAGATAACAGTAATAGTTAAGATAACATTTTGTTTAAAACCAAATATCATTCAGATAGTCTCATTCAAGAAAAGACCTGTTTCAGGTTTCAGTTTCAGTCTAACAGCATAAGGAGCAGCTGTCAGTCAAGACCAGGAAATTTCCTGTCCAGATCTGCAGATGAAAATGAAACAAAACAAAAGTGTTCTCAACTTGACTCCACACAGAAAACAACAAATTGTTGCCATGGAGACACAGCTGCCAGTCTCCAGGCTGAATGTAAACCTTGAACATCTGGACTCTCAAACTGAGTCGTGACATCACCAGGTAGACTCTGCTGCCTTAGAGACAGAGAAAGGTTGAAGTGAACAGGAAAATGGTCCCCTTAACACTAATAATGCTGAATAAAAGCAGCCTTTGTCTGTCTAATACTTATTGCTTTCTTTTACATCATCTCACGTTACGTTTGTGATATTTGGATTCTGCTTTTGTGACACTTCATGATTAAAATTAGAGATTAAAAAAATGTGTAAAAAGTACAATGTTAATTTGCTAAAGCAACAATGGTTATGTTAGCCAGAGGGTTGCAGCTACTGTAGAATCAGCTAGCTAACAACAGCATCATCATACTGTACAACGCCTGGGCACATCACAGCACCTGAATCCATTGTTTTCAGATGTGGGTATCATGTAATGTGACGCTATTGCCACATTCATGTCATGTCGGCGTCACTGTAATTACCACTTTCCCACTTGTAACAACGTTCATGTCAGTGTCTAGGTTGTAATTATGACATGGAAACTCTGAGTTTTCTAAAAGTGTCAATAAATCTGACTTGGCAGAGAAGTGCCTGAACACAAAACAAACATAGATGCTTCACATCAGCCAAAGATTCAGTGTTAAATTAAACCCACAATTAATGGCTATAGTCAGGAAATTAACTTTCACATGACCACCTCTGTAAGTACGTGTGTGGAGTTGTCAGACAACATGAATGCAACATAAATGTTACACCAAATATGTTTGCTATTTGTGGCTGTATGTAGTCAGATGTTAGCCCTCACTTTTACAATGACAACAATCATCACTGGTTATCTGGCTGTTTATTCAAGGTGAAAGAAGTGATCTTATTGTGTTGCTGACCCTTTGTAGTAAGACAATACACTAACCACAGGCAGCACACAAGTTAGCACACAAGTGTTTTGTAAAGTTTCAGATGTTATACCAGATACAACAAGCTAGTAAGAAGCACCTAGAAACATGTTAAACTATGAATTTCATGATACACAGGATGTTGCTACTTGTTATATTTACAACAAACAGCTGTTATGTTTGTAGCTGTCTTTATTTAAGGATATTACACATAACTCATAATGTCCTGTCAATGATATTCATAGTTTATACCTGCTAGCATAACAGTCCTACTAGATTATCCAAAGACCTTTAATAGTTGATACAACCAGTAAGTTACAAATTGCAGGTGCATTTCTTCATTCATTCTCGACCTCAGAAAGAGCAGATGCCAAAACCCAATCAAATAAGTGGACCTAGGGTTATGCTATGCTAGAGGTTTGTAGCATATGCATGTAATTCAGGCTGTTTGAAATTAATCTGGAGTGCTTGTACATGATGCTGCAGAGTTTGTGTTCCATTGTAACCCCCCGTTTAAATAAAAATGAAACATTCAAGTATTAAAAAGCCCATGGCGCTTTTCCTTGTCTTCTGATATATCTACAATGTTACAATGTTGAATTATCATCTTCGATGTGACCTAAAGCTCAAAAAATGAGGTGAACCTATGTTCTAGTATGCCTATGCAGAAGCAACTCGATTTATAGACGTCTCGTGAACTCTGACCGGTGAGACCTCTTTTCCCAGATATGTAAACTCTATAATAGTTATAATATAATAATAGTTCACAGATTTCTTTGAATCATCATAATCTCCAGGCCATTGTGCATTCATGTGAGCTTGCCTGACATCCACAGTGCCATTGTAAAAGTGGAATTTTTCGACTGCGCCCGGTTTTGTAGATATATTTTCCCTCCTGCTGCTGCACCGTGACTAGAGGATGTGGAGAAAAATACAGGGCCCGAGTTTACTGCATGTCCAGGGACTCTGTGTTTTACCTGACCAGGTCTAACCTACAAGCACCTGGCCAGTGAAGCCCTCGCAGCAGTGAATGATCAGCTCATCAACACCGGATTCCCCCAGAGCACAGTACCTGTTTGTACTTGAGGCCAGTGTGTCTGCCGCATGTGATGTGTTGCTGGTTAACAAGTGGATTAACGACTCATGATGTGTTAATTCCTTGTTTCTGTAATGTTAAACAATAGTTGTAAGGCTGGAGAAGTTACTCTGTCTGCATTATGCCAGTTAAAATATGGGGTTTCTCAGTTACGTGCTTTGTTTAGAGTGTTACACATCTCTTTTCATCGGTACATATACCGTTGTTTGCCTATCTGTGGAGGAGACATTCAAATTAATTAATGCTGTTGCGGTTCATTGTGCTGTCCACTTACATATTCTGACATATTCAAACATGTCAGGTAGGATTTGAGGTATTGTCACTGGCGAAAACGCAGTTTATTTGTCAATTATTTTTGTTTATGCATTGTCATAGCTTTCTGAGTGGCAACAGGAGTTGGGCACATTCACAAATTATCCTCTGATTTTCAGGAGGAGGCTCTCCTTGTGAAATCGGGTTTTATTGTTCTGAAATAATTACGCATGATTTGGAGTTATGATGGGTGCAAAACTAATCTAGAGGTACCCAAGATTAAACATTAAATGGCTGGAAATGAGCAGGCCATGGGCATTTTAAAAAAATTTAAATATTCCCATGGTGCACTGGGACAGATTATCAATAAGGCTACTGTCAAGGGAGACAGACAGTGTCACCTAGCTGCAAGAGTGAAGGCACAGCCGAGATAAATAGGTATAAATAGAGCTTACAGTCTGTACATACAATAAGTTAGTGACTCGCTAACACACACGGGCGAGCACACGCACACACACACACACAAACACAGATTTTTATCATTCAGCTCTTTGTTCATTCACTAGGTTTGAATTTATTGTTTCAGTTTAACTTTATTTTCAGTATGATTCTAGTTTCTAGTAGGTTTTTAAATTTTTTTATTCAGGGATAGGGTTAAATTAAAGGGTTAAACTCAATTAAATAACTTAATGTTCAGATTCTTTCATCTGCCGATAAAGAAGCTAACTAGCATATTAGCTCAAACCATTAGTCTGCAAACAACCTGTTGATCAAGCTGTCAGGCAGCTCTCAAGCTAAAAAAGAACAACCATCTATATCTTGTGTTCAGCATGTATTTCTCAACTTAAAATGTATAAAGGCTCAATCTCATATGCATTTAAAAAATTTTTCACGGGGTGTGAAGCAAACCCAAGCTTACTAGCTGTGTGTCACCATCCAGTCTTAATGAAGACTTTCGTCAGAGTATAAACTGCTCCCCAAAAGATATAACAGATCTGGAATCAGTCACTACACAGGAGTCTGAAAAATAGGTCTTTTGGGTTCTTGTGTGAACTTCTTGTTCTGCTAGCAAGATATTTTATTGAGCTAATGCGACTAGCATGTAAGTGGTTAACTCAAATGCTACATGACCAAGCTTATAAAACCACAAATTTCAGGATGACTCACAAATTACCTTCCTGATCTGACCAGTACTTTGACTCAGTGGGTCGCTTCCTCCACTTCCTCTCTACAGTACAACAATCCCTCTGAGCTCAGAACAGCTTTTCTACTGGCTGGTGCAAATCAAAGTTTACAAATATGACCATGATCAAAAAGTCTTCTACACATTGACTAAACTGGTGAATCTGTTCCACAGCAACTGGATGAGACTGGCTCTGACTGGGATTATTGAACTTAAATGTACCTAAATCAAAATGTATTCTATGACTTACGCCTGGTTCACACTATGTGCTTTTTTGTCTGATTACACAATTACAGTCATAAATTCTTGGATGATATGACAGACTATCTGTTGGCACCCAACAGATTACAGCCTGATGTCATTCACAACTTGGAGGTGCCAGGACTGGGAGGAGAGTGTGTGTGATACTGGCTGCTTGTGTTTAGAAAAGCATTTAAAATGGGGGGTTAGGGTTGTCTGTGGGTTTATGGGTTGTACAAAGGGAGTGGCAGCTCGTGTTGTCTCTTCTTCATAGATAACCTGAAAAAGTAGTTAAAAATAAGTGGTTTAAGCCAGTAGTAAAACAAAAAACTAGCTATCTAGCCCTCGATAGGGTAGCTGCTTCAAAAGGCTAACTGGGAAAGTCACTATGCTAACGTTATCTGTAACACTGTGATATTTAATGAATATGGTTCAGTCCAATATGCCAAAAATGTTCTTAACATACAGTGTGAACCATCTGTGCTCCCGCTGGTCTTGTCAACCCACCATGTTGTAGACAAAAAAAATTCTGACATGCTAGACTTTGCATCAGGATGTAGTGAGGCACCCCAGACTCAGCATCGGTTGTTGCTTCCCATGACACACTATAGGAGATTAAACAATCAATTGTTGTGTTTGACACCATTGTCATGTCAGACGGCCTAGGTCCTTCGTATTTGGGTTGTTATTGGATTTAAATCGTTTAGTCTGAATTGGGCATTATATTACCGAAACCTGAGATCAACTTGTCCATAAAAAACAGAAATAAAAAAATGATCTGACCTGAGAACAACAGAATCCTGATCTCACTGGACCAAAAAGCAAGACAAAGAAAATGCACATAATCCTAAACATCCAGTAAAGTGCTGCAGAAAAGGGGATTCACTAGTAGTTCAAAGTTGGGGACCAGATCCTACAGTAAACTGACCATATAAAACTTAGACATGACAAAATTCATTTTCAACAAAAGTCATCAGATCCAAAGGAGACCCAAGCACTGTTGCACTTATCTAAGAATAATCAAAGGGAAGACCATCAGACTGAAGAAGAACAATTAGACCTGATCAGAAAGGGACATTCAGGCCTGTGGTGAAAGTGACTTAAATACGGTCAGACCTCATCTGAACAGGGCCTGAACAGTAGCCTCAATATCACAGCCATCTCCATAGCAACAGTACAACAGTATCCATAGCAAGAAGCATCACTGATACCTTTCTTCATCCTTCATCAAGCCACTGATCTCCTGTGTGCTGATTGGCTGATCAATTGAAATTCATCAGTGGTGGCTGAAACTAAACCTTAGGACCCTCAGTCAATCTGGACTCAACATGGAACTGAGGAAGACTGGGAACCAGTGTAGGTCAAGTCCAGAAATTGTCTAGGGGCACGTTCATCTGAAGGGCTCCAGGCAAAAAATGTGTCCATAATATACAGTAAGTGGAGCTTCAGTCTCTGTCATTAACAGCTGAAGAGAAACTAGAATCCGACTGAAACATGATTTTAAAATACTCCCTGACTCTATTATTGCATTCAGTAGAATTTCACTGCATGTTGGGATCTTTACAGCCAGTGCAGAGACGATGCTGGTTTCAGTAGTAAAGGCAAAAAAATATTGTTAACTATACCATTGATTAAAAAACATCCAGCATGTCTGAAATCAGCAGATCAATTCTCAATACATGTTATCAGTATAGAAAGTATTAAAATTGTGCTTTTTGATTCTTCAAAGACAACAGAATAACTGGGAACTCTGGGAAATGTAGTGCAAGGCAGCAAATATAATCTTCCCTGATCTGATTGGCTGGATTGTCTTTTTATACCACAGACTGGTGACAGGTTGGTCTAACGCTGGGCTAAGGTTTGGTTTAGGTTAGATTAAGTATGGATTTGGGTCAGTTTAAAGGATAAGGCTGGTCATTTTCTATATTAACATTATTTTCTACACTCCCCATACAGAGACTAACACCATCAATGAATTGCCTCTGCTTCAGTTAATGTCTGTCAGCTGTCAGTCCAGGATCAGCTTATTCATTTGTGCCACAGTTCTCTGTTGTTGTTCAAAGACGATTAAAATCTGTTGTTTATTTTGTGTTTTTAGGGGTTATGTTTTTAAGGTTTTTAGATGGTTATATTCATATGTTTTGTTGCTGCTGTGCCAACTGGAGGTCACTTTAAAATTTTGTTGGATGTGTTACAATGACAATAAAGGATTATCTTATCTAATCATTTTTGAACAACGGAGGTCTATGGCACAGATGAATAAACTCATCTAGGACTGACAGCTTCAGTCGATGCATGGAGACTGCTGAACATACTATTAATATAGAAAAGAACCAGCCTTTAAATTTAAGTTTAAATGTCATTTAAAATAAAAATGTATTAAAAAGTGAATGGATCTAAAGAACTGTGATCTCCTGAGTCTGACTATCAAAACCTCATATACCCACAACACACATACACACACACACACATGCACACAACAGGAAGACACTGTGCTGACAGGAGTCCAATGATTTCCAAAGTTTTAGTCTCAGAGCCACTTCAAAAGTTCCATCTTCATCTCCCTCCTCCTCTGTGGGGCTCCGATTGTCTTCAGGGGTCACAGGTCAAAGGTCACTGGATTCTGTGAGCGTTTGATGGGATTAGAGGTCAGTGACCTTGTTCTCCACCAGGGCAGCAACCTGCTGCAGCCGATAGGCCAACTGCATCTTCTGACCTGAACTGTCCTCCTCCAGAGACATAATGATCTGAGACAGAGAGAGACAGGCAGGTGCAGAGAGACAGGTACAAAACAACCCTCAGACTTGTTCCTATTTATTACTTAAAGTATACAGTATTTTACATATTTTATTGTTTGAGTAAAGCATTTATGAGTTAACTTCAACCCATCAAAACAAAAATCAGCCAGTTTAGTGACGGAATATTTATGAAAACATTTTTAAAGCCTGCCTCATCACATTCATAAGCATCAGAGCTTTCAAACCCTTTTATAACAGAAAAACAGTAAAGTGGCTGGAGATGCTGAAAAACATCTTTTTTCTAAAACTGTCTTTTTAAACTTATATCCGTGGTCATGTCAGATCACATGACTTCCGCAGAAATGTGGACAGGTGCTCCCTAAAACAATAAGTGATGAGAACAGAGACTTTGACTTGTATTTTGTATTTTGACTTGTGTGGAGAGGGTGCTGGCCTTTCACTTTCTGGGAGTCCACATTAAAGAGGATCTGACCTGGGGCGTGAATACCTTTGGACTGCTTAAAAAGGCCCAGCACAGACTGTACTTCCTATGGGTGCTCAGGAAGAACAACATCTCCCAGAGACTGTTAGTGTCCTTCTATCAGTGCTCCACTGAGAGCATCCTTACATACTGTATATGTGTATGGTACAGCAGCAGCACAGTGGCTCAGAGGAAAACACTTCAGAGGGTCATTAATACGGCCTAGGAGACCATCAGCTACCCTCTCCTCACTCTGGAAGAACTACACAGTTCCCGCTGCCTCAAAAAAGCCCAGAACAGCATTAAGGACACTTTACACCCAGGACATTCACTCTTTAAACTGCTGCTGTCAGGTAGATGGTTCAGAACAATCAAATCAAGGACCACTAAATTCAGGAATAGTTTCTACCCAAAAACAGTTACCTCACTGAATGCTGCTAAATTATAATATGCCTGTGTGTGAGGGGGGGCATGAGAGGGCTGTTGTTTATCTCATCTCTCATTTCATTTTCTATACCGCTTAGTCCCAAACGGGGCCACGGGGGTGCTGGAGCCAATCCCAGCTGGCATCAGGCAAAAGGCAGGGTACACCCTGGACAGGCCGCCGGTCCATTGCAGGGCCAACACGCAGACGAACAACTACACACACATTCACTCCTACGGGCAATTTAGAGGGCTGTTGTTTATTTCACAGTGAAATTTCGTTGTACGTGTTATAATGACAATAAAGGATTATCTTATCTTATTTCCTGTAGCAACACACTGTTTACTTCAGAGACAAAACCATAAAAGGAACAAAGACCTGGATGAGCTTCATGAAGTTAGTGTTACCTGATCATAATATTTGTTGATGTACTTGTAGAGCTCATGGAGAGCAACAAGACTGTTCATGCCTGAGGCAAAACTCTGTAAGAGGCAGAGAGAGAGTATTAAGTTAGTGCTAAGTTGGTTTCTTTGGTAGACGTATTCAGATAGTGACGTCTGCAGTTACTGACCCCGGACAGTTCAGTCAGAGTGGAGTTCATCTCCTGATAACAGCCTGAAGCAGCGCTGTGGATATCACTGTAGTACCTGTGCCAACATCACATGATTATAACAGGTCTACAGAAACAGTAATTCTGTCCTCAATTGCAGTTTTATTACCTCTCCCAAAGCGAGGGGTTATGTTTTTACCAGAGTTTGTTTGTTGTCAACAGCATAAATCAAAAAGTAATGAAAATATTTTGATTAAATGTGTTGGAGAGGTAGGGTACAGCCCACTGAATAACTGATTTTCATAATTTGGATACAAGAACATTTTGAAACATTCTTCAACATTTTGAATACTGGAAAGGTTGTTGACTGTATGTGAGCCCCCTTGTGGCCAAAGTGTGCCACTGCGCTGCTGAGCACTCTGAGCACATACAAAGAAAGCCCTGCCTCAGCAGTAGCTGCCCATTCACTGTCAGTGGAAACCAAGTGCTGTGACTCAGCCCACCCCGCTGTGTGAGATGGGGACTGGAGGAGCCCAGCAAGGCTATGGCCCACAGCTGGGGAGAGACCTGCTCTATGCAGCGACAGCCAGGCCAGAACCTGGTGGCAGAGATTTGGAGCCAAACTCAAAGCTTTTCTCAGTTTCATCTGTAGGACTGGTTTTACGCCACTTTATTAGGTTGTGACAGGTTTTCAGGTGACACAGTAACCACTTGGACTGAGAATATGAGGTCAGTCTCTCCAGGTAACGCCAAGTTAGAATTTGTTCTGACGTTTTCCGAGATGTGAGCGCTCGTTATCTGACCAAGCTAGCTCTGTTAGCAGGTGGCTACATGTGGTTCAGAGCCCAGCAGTCTGTCGGTGAGGACACCACTGTTCCAGCTGCACATTATAGCTGGGTTTCCACTGTCGGAGCCCAACGAGCAGTACATGCCATGCTTCCATTAACTGTCACCCAAAATAACGTCACAAGTTGATGCCGACCGTCCTGCTTTGCTTTTCCACTGTGTCGGTCTCTGTTTAGAGGAGGGAGGGGCTGCGCTCCTCTCTCACACAGAGCTGACCAGAGGACGTGAAGGATTAGTCTACAGTGCACCGATCAGCCAGTAACAGGCTGGATGGGCAGTTCATCAACAGCTGTTGATGAACACAGAAATGTGACATCTTCACCACTTTGCCCTCGGTCCGCTCACTGAAGTCCCTGTTTTAGCCCTAAACCAATGAGTGGATGTTTGTCATGTCTGTCCTTTTCCTTGAATAACTTTCCAACTAAATGATATCAGTGTCACTCCAGGTGCCAGCAGCAGGTCTTCATGGTCAAGCAGTCATAGTATGGGGCTCTCATTGTCACGGGAATATTGCTTTTATGGCATTATGGGGACACTGAGTTGCACTGCACTCTGAGTGACAACCTCAAGTCTCGAGTGACAACCTCTCTATGTTTGTGCTGCTACAGTAACGACAGACAGTGGGTTTCTGCGGTAACTGTGAAGCAAGGAGCACATCTAGATTTAGAGTCCATCATAGTACAGAAACCGCATTGGTGAAAGTCACCAATGATCTTCTCCTAGCCTCGGACAAAGGACTTGTCTCCATACTTGTCCTCTTAGATCTCAGTGCTGCTTTTGACACCATTGATCACAGCATCTTACTGCAGAGACTTGAACATGTTATTGGGATTAAAGGAACTGCACTAAGTTGGTTCAAAGCTTATTTATCAGAAAGATCTCAATTTGTTCATGTTAATGATGAATGTTCCACACAAACTGAAGTTAGTCACGACGTTCCACAGGACTCTGTGTTAGGTCCAATTCTCTACAATTTATACATGCTTCCTTTAGGCAATATTATCAGGAAGCACAACATAAATTTCCATTGCTATGCAGATGATACTCACATATTTATCTATGAAGCCAAATGAATCAGATCAGCTGGTCAAACTTCAAGCATGTCTTAAAGACATAAAGGCCTGGATGACCTGCAACTTCGTACTTCTAAACTCTGACAAAACTGAAGTTATTGTGCTTGGGCCTGAAAACCTTAGAAATCTGCTGTCTAATCATATAGTTACTTTAGATGACATAGCTCTTGCCTCCAGTACTACTGTGAGGAACCTGTGAGTCATCTTTGATCAGAATATGTCCTTTAAATCACACAAAATCCAAGTCTCTAGATCTGCCTTCTTTCACCTACGCAATATTGCAAAAATCAGGAGCATCCTGTCTCAAAGTGATGCTGAAAAACTGGTCCATGCATTTGTTACTTCCAGGCTGGACTACTGTAACTCTTTACTACCAGGATGTCCCAATAATTCCCTAAAAAGCCTCCAGTTAATCCAAAATGCTGCAGCCTTAATGACAAGGCTCCATCGTATCTTAAAGACCTCATAGAGCCTTATCATCCCAACAGAGCAATTATCTCTCAGAGTGCAGGTCTACTTGTGGTTCCTAGAGTCAACAGAAGTACAATGGGAGGAAGAGCCTTTAGCCATCAAGCTCCTCTCCTATGGAACCAGCTCCCAGTCTCAGAGGCAGATGTCCTCTCTACCTTTAAGAGTAGACTTCAGACTTTCCTTTTTTGATAAAGCTTATAGTTAAGGGTGGATCAGGTGACCCTGAGCCTTCCCTTATTTATGCTGCTATAGGCCTAGACTGCTGGGGGCCCCATGATGCTCTGAGTTTCTCTCCCCTCCCCTCTCCTCTCCTCTCCTCTCCTCTCTTTCCATGCTTCTATATGCCACCATTACAAATCACTAACTTTGTGTCTCCTCTCTCCTGTAGTGTGTCCTCTCTCTCTCCCCCTGTACCTTTCTGCAGGTTGCCCTGGCCCTGGAGCTCTACGTCTCTGATGAGCAGTCACAAACCACATCAACCTGATCAGTGTTTGATTGTTGTGTCTTGTTGCTTTTCTTCTTTTGTCTCTCCTCTATCCACTCACCCCAACCGGTCGAGGCAGAAGGCCGCCCACCAAGAGCCGGGGTCTGTCGGAGGTTTCTTCCGTTAAAGGGAGTTTTTCCTCCCCACTGTCACCAAGTGCTTGCTCAAGGGGGATTTGTTGGGTTTTCCCTATGTAATAATATTGATAACAGTAAGGTCTAGACATGACTTTGTAAAGTGTCCTGAGATGACTTTTGTTGTGATTTGGCGCTATACAAATAAAATTTGATTTGATTTGATTTGATTTGACATCTCAGGGAGAAGTGTGTCTTACAGTATGACAGTGTTCATCATGAGCTAAAAGGTGTCCACTCTGACTGGAAGCAGTCTCACCTCTCCACCAGCTGCTTGTACCGGGGAATCTCTCTAGCATACAGCAGCTTGTTCACAGGAGAGTCCTGATTGGACAGAAGTTATCATGAGGCCACAGTGTCAGTACATGTACTGTCAGATACCGTACAGTGTAACAGAGAGACAGACAGCTCATACCCGCCCAACTTTGTGCTCAGAGGTGGTGCAGGAGTCAATAAAGGTTTGAGCAATGACAGACAGGATGGCGTCAATGCTGTCGGTCACCTGAACATCCAAAACAAACTGAGGGTTCTTCAGGATGTTCACCCAGAACCTGAGAGGGAGACTGTAGACAGACACATAGGTCAGAGAGACAGACAGGTGACAGGATGTGTCAGGTAACCAGCCACATCTTACCTGTTGGTCTTCCAGATGTGAACAGTCTCAGGGTCATCAATGGCATGTTTCTCAGCCATGTCATCCAGGAAGTCGAAGAAGAATCTGACAGCTATTGGAGGAGGACGCTTTGTACTGAGAATCGCCACAAAGACGTCATCAACAAACTTCTGCAATGTCCCCTACAGAGGCAGGTAGAGAATCAGAAGGCAGACAGAGACAGATGGACAACCAGATGGAGGGAGAAAGATTTTAGTTCTCTGTATTACCTTCATGGACAGCAGTCTGGTCAGATAAATCTCAGGTATGGCCTTGGCCCTCTCTCGCTCTCTCATGCTGCTTTTTCTGTGCTTTGGGATTTCAGGATCTTCGCTGCTCTTCACTAAGTGCCACAGGCGCAGACCCTCCTCCTCCTCACCCTCCAGCATTGGTGTTTCTACAGCAGCAACACATTCACCATGATGATCATGTCAACCAATTAAAAAAAAGACAGACCGTCAATCCCTAAACAGTGCCGTAGGCCAACTGGGAAGTTAGCGTCACATCAGTTACTTTGACAAAAGTCAATGAGATTTTTCCATAGGCTTTTGGATTCCTGAAGTATAGGGGTACAAGTATATTGAGAACAGTAAGAATCCAGTTTGCCACAGCTATCCTAAAGGTTTCTGGGACTTTTTAGCTAACTATTTACACACTGATGTTTCAAATCTTTTGGAAGAAAGAGCACCCACCTCTGGTGTAAATTACTTAGAAGTTAGTCTTTGGAATACTGAAGTAAAGGGGTACAAAGTATAATAAGAACAGTGAGAATTCACAGTCTGCCACTGCTAAACAAAAAATATTAGGTATCTATTCATGCATGTTGTTACTTGTACTGTCTTGTAATTGTTGCTTTTAAGTAATATTTATTTTATTTGCATTCTAATGTTTTATGCATTTTAATGTTTTCTCTCTGTGTGCATTGTGGTAGGCACTTTGAATTGCATTTGTGTATGAAATGTGCTGTATAAATAAACTTGCTTTACTGCAGAAAATAAGCTCTGTGACAAAACAGTTTCTGACAGACATTTTGTTCAGCGACATAATCGTCACAGGTGAAAACCACTGTTATGATGTTTGAAGCCCAAAGACGACCACCAGAAGTAAAAAAAGCTACTGTGAGGCTATAATCAAACTGCACCACAGTCCCATGACTTCAGTGTCACCATCACAGTTTCCAACTTGTAATTTGATTTTGCAAACTTACCTCTTCTAAAAAATCCTTTCCTCTTAGTGTGACCTGATCTAGGTAGTGATCGTGGCTGTCAGTTAGAAAGATTTGCAATTGTTTAAAAAAAGTTTAAAACTGACGAGGCTGTAAAGGCAGGTTAGTGAGTAAACAAGTCCCTGTGATGACATGTAATATTCCAAACAGCCTCTGTAGTCTCTTTTAGCCACTAGTTAGCAACTATCTTTTATAAGACACGTAAAGCATTAAATAGCACCAGTGGGGTATTTACTGCTGTATTTTACTTCATAGAACAAAATGTGAATATGTAATGGCCTTGTGTTAATCACGGGCTTTATTTCATGTCTAAATAAAAACACACCAACTTTGGGGCGAGGAAACCTGAAGTACAAAATTGCTAACTCAGTTCTGGGTTTTAGGATGATGGCAGGTGTTAGTGCTAAGCAGTTCCCCTTGTGTTAGTTTTGGTGTCAGTATGTTCTAGCAGCTCCTTTGCATTAGGCCTGGGGTCTAGATGGTTACCTTTACATGTGTTCTGAGTTCTAGATAGATTCTAGATATTCTAAATATTCCAGAAGGTCTGGACAGTATCGACTTTTACATTGGCCGTTCAAAGTGGGATCATTATGCTAATTTTACCATCAATATAGCTGAACCTCTGTCTGTAGGTCTCAGTTCTACATGTACCATATGGTTCCATCTTGTGCTGATTCTGGGTTTCAGATATTCTATATATTTTAGATGCCTGTGTTTTCTACATTTGTTATGTTTCTGTTTGTGTCAACTTGGTTGTGGATGTTCTACATGTTTTGTGCTCTAGACTGTTTGGATGTGCTCTGCTCTTACTCTCTCCTGTCTGGAAAACTTGGTTAACTCCAACACCACCTGAACTCTGAGAACGAGGAATCAGAGCAACAGTCGCTCCATCTGGAACCTGAAGAACAAGAGAGGAAAGATGTTTAACTGAGGGGAAGAAGAACAGGAAAAAAAAGATGAGGACAATGTGAATAGTGGTGGAAGTAAAGACGCACAGTGACTGGTCAGTTGTTGATACCTTGTAATGTTGCAGCGTGTTGATTTGTTTCCAGCGACCCTGAACCACTGCTGTGACATCATCATCAGACAGGGTCAGGTGACCTGCCTGACCTGAACGCCACTCTATCATGAAATACAGAAACATGGGTCAGCATGAGCTGTCAATCAAAACACAGACAGTTGAGACAGGGGTATGTCTGTACCCAGATCCAAACTGTCGGCTGCTGGTCTTTGAGAAAATGGAGCTCCTCTGTAGACCTGATCCAGGATTTTATCCTTCACCTGCAGACAAGGAGACAGATTGGTGTAAGGGAGTCAGGTGAGAAGAAGACAGGTAGGTAATACTCAAACGGACAGACAGACAGGTACCTGTGTGACAGTGTCAATATCGAGCACTTTAACAGGACATGGCTGAACCTCGACTCCGTTCTTTACCAACACCATCAGAGTCTGAGAGACAGATAGGTAGAGAAAGTGTTTAGGTGTGTCTGGCTGAATCATATAGATGCAGACAGGTAATACAGTATGTGTGTCATCATGGTTACCATAGCATTGTAGTCAATATCCTCTCGCAGCAAGTGACTGTCATTCAGCGTTCGTTTGGCTTTTCCTGTCACTGCATCAACTGGCCCTTTATCCACCTGATACTTTATGGCTCTGTATAGCATGTAGAGAGGCTCCCCCGCCACCTCCTAACAGACAGAGAGACAGGTTAGGGTGAGATGAGCACTTAGAAACAGGTTGATATACAGAGAGAAAGACAGGTACTTACTTTGAGGAAAGAGTAAAGGCAGATTGACATCCAGTTGGTTAGCATCTTCTCTACAACTGTCTCCGTCCTGAAACACAGACAACAAAGAGTACAATGATCAGAGAGACAGGCTACAGATTTGTCCTGACTCTTCTCTTTGAGGGAGGAGGACTGCTGCCATAGACCTGGGGTGGGGGAAGGAACTCCTGGACCTGGCTGACACAGTGAATTTCTACTTTCTTCATGATTTTATAGCACAGTGAAACATAGACATGGAAGGTAAAAGATCTCAAAAGTGGTGGTCATCTCTGGAAAATGAGGAAGATTTAAACCTCACATGAATGGTTGTAAGAACTTGTCTGGATTTGACAGATTTTGCAGATGAAGGATTTGTTTTACATACCGGCGTAGCATGAGTTTGGGGTTCTTGGCAACATACTGCTGCACCAGGTCCTGCAGCAGACTCTTCATGACCTCGGTGAAATACTCCAGTTTATCATGCAGAGCCATGGTGAGTAAACTGGCAACATAACCTCGGTCTCTCTGAGAAAAACCCTGCTGGGCCTCCAGAGTGTGGATGAACTGAAACAAAGACCAAAATAAACATCACCTGCAGGTCCGGGTGTCCTCTGATCTGAGAATAGGCTACATTAGCATAACATGACCCTCCTGCCTCCTGACCATCACCCACTCTGGTGAGGAAGAGTCTGTTGTTGAGCAGGTTATTGAGCTGCTGGAGACCCTGCTCCACAGTCAGCCTCCTGGACTCTGGCAGGTCCAACTGGCGGCTCAGCGGTAACATCTGCTGGCCGGGAAAGAAGACTCTCTCTGCGTATGTCCTGTAGTCCAGCAGGGGGAGTCCTGGTCCTCCAACATCACTGCTCAGGTCCATCATCTCTGTCATCAGGTCTGCACTCAGAGGAAAAGAGGACGATGATGTTGGTCTGCACTTAAAGATTCTGGGTACATCCCAAGTCACTTATATATGCATCTGCCTTTCCTTCATTTTTTCCTTGTGTTTTAGTCCTGTTCATGTAAAATGTGAAGAAAAAACAAGGAAAACATCTGAAGTGTCCAGTTATCAAGTAATATCTGATAAGGGGTGTGTCAGTCCACAAATGACTACAATGCTCCTGTGTATAGCAGATATAAGAATCTTGGGTTGTCTTCAGTCCTTGACCAACCGGAACAACTTGCGGATCGAGCGAGGATCAAGGACTGAGGAACGACCATATAAGAGCTTGGGATGTGTGAAAGACTGCTCCTGATGGCCAGGCTAAGGTGTGTGAATGGTTGAAATTGTAAAGGGCTGTAAAGTGTTGTATAACTGCATCAATTTGCCAGCTTTTTTTGTTGATGATTTTTTTCTAAACTGGAAGTACAAAGAGACAGGATGTTGTTTATACTGTACAGAATGAACAGCCCTGTGAGACAAATTAGTGATTTTAGGCAGTATAAATGCTTTACAGTGAAATTCGAGAACACTTCCCACACTTTTGCCCGCATCATTTTGGACGAGACGATTCCATCTGTAGAGTTTGTTGCATGTTTGTCATAAAAGGTGAATGTACCAGTGAACTCTTTGCGACACTGATCTCCCACGTTGATCTCCAGTGTTTCCAGTTGCAGCAACACCTTCTTATAATCTCTGAGAGCCTGTTTACTCTTCCTCCTACACACAGAAACACAACAGAAGCTCAACACAGTGTTGGTGATTAATAGAGATTTACTGTATATAAATTTACAGTAAATATACAGACATAAATATATCAAATCTTAGCAAGCAGCAGCTTGTCTGTTAGTCACTGATTACAAACTGTGAAATATTTGTTAAAACAATATTCTAAAATCTAGTGGAGATCATGACGTAGAGTATTTCCATCTGAAGAGATGATGCAACCACAAAAACATGGGAGTGTAGGGTTTGAATGTTTCACTCAGAGCTAGAACACAAACATAGAGAAAATACAATGTCAGATAAGGAGGAATACAATGATTTTTACAAAACCTGGAACTAATTAAGAGAAAAAGAAAGTGTAAATTTCTGGTTTAGAAAAACAACCTTTTAAAGTACGATTAAAGGGCCCTAACTTAAATTCACACTAAACCCACTGTTTGAAAGTTAAGGATCTGTACAGTTACTTTACTCTACTTGTGTCAGTCTGGTTGTTCATTTCAAAAGCACATCTTTGTCTAGTGTTTGTATCCATCAGCACATAAAAACAGAAATCACTGTTGGTGACATGAAGACTTCTGTTTCAGTCTTCCTGACCAACACAGATGCTGGAAATCCAGCGATCACATCCAGAATTCAGAAAACTTTAATTGCATGTGTAACTGCTCTACTGAGTTGTAATGTGAAAGGAGTCGAGAGCAGCTGTGTGACAGGATGGTTAGCCATTACTCTCCCTGTGTGTACGTAACTGACACAGACTGAGGACAGACATCGAAACACAGGCGGTGTAGAGGCAGCTAACATAGGTGGACGATTGGTCATATTTGGAATTCGTGAAGGTGGTGAGGTCAAGGAATAAACTGATCAAATTAACTGAAACTTGAAGACAGGTGGTGGCAGGCAGACAGGTACCTACCTGTACATGAGGATGACAACCAGCACTGATAGGATGATGATAGCTGCTCCTGCCCCCAAGCCAATCTGGGCAGCCAATGGGACAGGAGATAGCAGAGAGTTACTGTCATACTGAACCAATCCCAGGTCCACCTGCAGGTTTCCCATGAACACCTGGGACACATGGAGGAGTCATTTTCAAAACAGACCTCTGAACTGGAGTGAGGAGACTCATGCTGGACCTAAAATCAAGGGCTACTTATTTACATTTGTTTGTTCCCAGAGCTTTGGACAATAACCCATGGCCCCTTCTGAGTCTTTATTAGTTTAACATGTCTAAACCTGGTCAAACATATTCTATGTTTATCTCTACGTAGGTGTATGTCAGATGTTTACAGGCTCGTTCAAGATGCACTGTGCCTGGTCAGTGGGCGAGAACAGGCGGCAGTGACAAAAATCCGCAGTCAAGATGGACAGCAGCCTTCAGCCTATACAGGAAGTCACAGAAACTGGCATCCTGTTAGATTTGATCCTAATTTAATAAACTGTCATCAAACCAAACAGTTCAGCTTCTCCTCAGGGTCCAAACAGCTGCTGGTTTAATGACGTCCCTCTGTACAACAGGGAGAGTGAGAACATGCCGCCCTGTGTTGGTCTCCATACTGTTACTCACACATCCATGCAAAAATCTGTCATCTGGGTCATAGTATACTGAAAAAACTTAGAAGGCATCTGGATGTAGTTTTAAGTAAAAAATGGCTTCATCGGTTCCGTTCAATTGGCGTTGAGCCGGGGATGTTTAGCACCATCGGTGGTGTTTCAGTCCTTTGATGCCCAATAATGTCCCTTAACGACTGAGTTGTTATAGCCCAGTATCGGTGAGAGTCGTTACCTGTCTTTGGATCCTCCCCTGTCGACCGACACCTATTGTCCTGGTGGGCATGTTTGGGCAGAGATCTCAAAACAGGATTGTAGATGGAAGACAAGTTGTGTCTTAGTCCACCACCCCTATTTAGTGAGGGGTGTTCTATTTTTACAAAAATCGCTTCCTTAACTCCTCTCTCAAACCAGCAATGTTCTCTGGAGAGGATCTGGACTTCACTGTCCTCAAAAGAATGTCCTTTGTCCTTCAGGTGGAGGTGGACTGCTGACTCTGGTCCACTGGAGTTGGCCCTCCTGTGTTGGGCCATGCGTTTGTAAAGTGTCTGTTTAGTTTCACCAATGTACAAGTCGTTACACTCCTGACTACACTTAATTGCATACACCACATCACTCTGTTTATGTCTGGGTGTTTTGTCTTTCGGGTAGACTAGTCTCTGCCGCATTATTGACTAAGGAGGTCCAGCTTCTTCTGAGAGACCATAATGCAGCCTACATTTCTGGCAACAAAGATCTGTACAGCACTGCCAGACATAATCTCAAGAGAGGCATAAGATCAGCTAAAGCTTCATACAAGGAGAAGACTGAGGATCACTTCAACTCCAGGATCTCGGCACGTATGTGGCAGGACATCCAGCACTTAACCAACTGTAGGGGCAGCAGAGATCCACTGACAGCAAACAGGGCCTCGCTGGTCGAGGAACTGAATTGCTTCTTTGCCTGATTTGAGAGAGGACTGGACAACATAACTTCATCCCAGTTGGACTCTGCTGACCACTCACCTACCCTCCAGACACAAATCCTGAGAACTGTTAATGCCAAGGAGGCGGCAGGTCCAGATGAGATCCCAGGCAGGGTACTCAGGGACTGCGCTCATCAGTTTGTAGAGGTTTTCACAGACGATTTTACCCCCTCCCTGGCACATACTACTGCGCCAGCCTGCCTGCCTGAAAACCACTATCATCATCCTGGTGCCCAGGCAGACCAACACCAGCTCCCCGAATGACTACAGATCAGTTGCACTCACACCCATCATAACCAAGTGCCTTGAAAGACTTGTCCTGTTTATGTCTGGGTGTTTTGTCCTTTGGGTGGACCAGTATCTGCCGCAAGGTGTTCCCTGGTTTAAAGTTAGCTGGGATATTGTGGTTGAGAAAGATCCTTTTTAACTTCTCTGATAAACCAGCTACATAAGGGATGACAGTCAAGAAGTCAAGAATCTTTATTGTCATTATGCATAGCACAATTAATTTTTTTCCGGCAGCTCTCGGCTTAAAAGACACATTATTTACATAACACAAAATTGCATAAGTCAATATAAAATAATGAACAAATAAAAAGGGATGTGTGTGTCTGCAGAGGTCCAGTGCTCTGTGTCTGTCCATAGGGGGGAGGTTGTGTGTGTGACTGGGGGTTAAGGGAGTGATTGATTACATAGCTCTGGGGAAGAAGCTGTGTCTCAGTCTGTTTGTTTTAGTCTTTATATTCCTGTACCCTTTCCTGGAGGGAAGAGGCACAAACAGACTGTTACCTGGGTGGGTGGGGTCTGCAGCAATCCGTCCGGCCCTCCTCTGGATCCGGTCAGTGTATAGTGAGTCCAGATCCAGGAGAGGACTCCCTACGATACCCTGAGCTGTTCTCACCACCCGGGTCAAATCCTTTCTGTCCTGTGCAGTGCAGCTCCTGTACCACACTGTCACACTGAGACAGAGGATGCTCTCTACTGTCACTCTGTAGAAGTTTGCAAGCAGCTGAGAAGAGAGACCAGCGCGTTTTGGTTTCCTGAGGAAGCAAAGCCTTTGCTGGGCTTTCTTCACCAGGTAGGATGTGTTCAGAGATCAGGTCAGGTCAGATGTGATGTGGATGCCCAGGAACTTGATGTTATCCACTTGCTCCACCACCTCCTTGTGTATGAGAAGAGGAGCATACATTGTCTTCCTGGACCTCCTATAATCCACAATGACTTCCTTAGTCTTGTTGGTGTTCAGGACAAGATTGTTATCTGAACACCACCTTGTCAGGTGCTGGATCTCCTCTCTGTAGTGAGTCTCATCATTGTCTGAGATGAGACCCACTACGGTGGTGTCGTCTGTGAACTTCACTACTGTGTTTGTGGGGTGAATGGCATCACAATCATGGGTAAACAGAGTGAAGAGAACTGGGCTGAGCACAGTTAACCATCCCCTCTTGTTTCTGGTTTCTCCCTGTTGGTGTTGGACCTTTTAGTTGCTTTGGTGAAGGCCCACTTGGGGTATCCACAAGCCTTAAGGGATGTGTAGTTTCTCCTTCTTGGCCCCTTCTGCAGTTGTGGACAGTTACTCACATACTTGTCTGAACGTATATCTGAGCCACGTTTCTCTTACGAAGCATCATCAGATCAGTTTGCTGCTGTATCTGAGCTGACCAGGCTCGTTTGATATGAAACTGCATCAATACATTCACAGCTGTCGTTGATCTGTCAGATATTTAGTCTGCGTCACCTCTGTACAGATCAGAACCATCACATCCCACTCACAAATGGTTTTTGTGTCTCTTAATCCTTCAGGAATTAAATCAGTTCATGTTGCAGAACAGGACTCTCACAGTCTGTGAGAGTCCTGTTCTGCAACATGCTGTTTAAATCTACTTTATAGCTTGATTAGTGTCTGGGTTGTGTTATCAGGGAGTCCCTTTTCAAATATATATTCTGCTGTATAGACTTAGCTCATTCAGACAACTCTGTATGCTCATGCTGACTTGTCTCCTTGCTGCAAGTAAAGAATACTGTTATAACCATTCCAGTGACTTCGTTGCTCTGTTTGGAAAGTCTTTTGACAGCCTCTAAATCATAAATCCTGTTAAGTCACAATTTTTACCAATATTCAGTACACCATCTCTCAACTAGTCATAAAATATCACACAGCACGAGTGAATCAGTTCAATTAATTCAAACTTCACACTGAAGCTCAACAAAGTCATTCACATTCTTCGAACAGTTCAGAACGTTTTAAATTCAACAAAGATATAGTGAGGAACAGAAGTATTTGAACACCCTGCCATTTTGCAAGTTCTCCCACTTAGAAATCATGGAGGGGTCTGAAATTCACATTGTAGGTGCATTCCTACTCTGAGAGACAGAATTAAAAAAAAAAAATCAGGAAATCACATTGTATGATTTTTAAAGAATTTATTTGTCTTGCACTGCTGAACATAAGTATTTGAACACCTGAAAAAATCAGTGTTAATATTTGGTACAGAAACCTTTGTTTGCAATTACAGAGGTCAAACGTTTCCTGTAGTTCTTGACCAGGTTTGCACACACTGCAACAGGGATTTTGGCCCACTCCTCCACACAGATCGCCTCTAGATTTGTCAGGTCTCGGGGCTGTCGCTGAACAACACAGAGTTTAAGCTCCCTCCAAAAATGTTTTGTTGGATTGAGGTCTGGAGACTGGCTAAGGCAACCCAGGAACCTT